GTTAGATAAAATGCTTATAACTGTTGAAATGGTTTTGTGAATAGCCTCCTGTTATAGTTTGAGTATGAGATATCCCCCAAGAGATTATGCGTGAGACAATGCAAGAATGTTCAGAGGTGAAATGAATAGATCATGAACACTGTAACTTAATTAGTGGATAAAAAAGGCACTTAAATGGATTAACTGGGTGGTAACTGTAGGCAAGTAAGTTATGGTTAGAGGAAGTAGGTGACTGGGATCTTGCCTTTGGGCTTCATATTTTGTCCCTGGCATACATCTCTCTCTCTCCCCACCCCTGTCTTCTCCTGTCTCCATGTCTCTGATTTTCAACCACTATGAACTAACCACCCTTCCTCCATGATGTTCTAACTGACCTTGAGCCCAGAGCTATGTAGTGGGTAGACCATGAACTAAACCCCTGAAAGGATGGGCCAAAATACACTTCTTTTCCTCTAAGTTGTTCTTGTCAGGTCTTTTTATCAGACTGATGAAAAGCTGTCTAACATAGCTCTTCACCATGTTTATTTAACCTCCCAGGTTCATTATCCTTCAGTTCATTTTTTTCTACTGTTGGGTTATCTTCTGAAATGACCTGCTTCAAACTCATTTCCTTCAAAACCTTGGTTCAACCCCAGGGCTGCAAATGCCCCAGTATACTATTCACAGATCTCAAAGAAACAACTGGGAGGAATCAACAGAGAGAGTTATTACTCGTGGCAGTGGCAGTCTGAGAGAAAACAAAAGTTGCACCATGCCAACAAACAGTGTGGGGAGGGATATATAGATTACACTGCATGCCCCTTGCACAGATGGATTCTTCAGATGTTTTCTTAGTGCATTCTTTGACTTACAACAAAGGTTAGTCTGCTTTGATTTTCTACCTCAAATGTGAGGGAAGGGAAGTGGCCAGTTTCCCTTCTCCTTCCCTTCTCCTTACCCATCATGTTTTTTGAAGGCTTCTCATCTTACCACAAGGCAACACTTACTAGGCACAAATTGCTGGTACCCTAACACCTTCATTGAAGTGTCTTTTTACAAAAAAAGGCAGAAAAGGCCTTTCCTGACCTGGATGTGACCTCCACCTTGACACTCACAGCTCATCACATCTTCTATCACTACCCAAACTATAGTTTCTGAACATGAGCATTCTTTCATGCTAGCATGACTGCGCACATGTACTTCCTATTGCTACAATCATTTTCTGTGATTCTTATCAAAGCTAACAATTAATGAAAACATATAATAATGTCAAATACCTTTACCTTTGTGAAGCATGAAGTTCCCTCTCCCATAAAATAATCTCTTCTCTGAAATATCCCTCTATTGTAACATAAATTTATTGCTTATTAATGAATTTTTATGGTTCCTTTGCTTCTGTCTTTTATTTTCTATATTGTAATCATTGTAGGATACTAGAGCTAACTTTGTATTTTAGTAGTCCAGCATAATATATTTGCTCAGTAAATGTTTATGAATGGAGATGATACAAACTCTTGAAATGAAATTATTGTGAAATTAGAAATGGTTTCTGTTCGAATTTAGTTCTCTGCAATTATTCTTCTCACTAAATCAATTAAACTGCTGCACTACCATAGTGAAAATCAATTAGTATAAAATTGAGGTTAATGCTACTTTTTTCTAATAAGATATTGGCATATAATAGGAAGTACTTTTGTTGCTTTTGGTGGTGGCTGTATTGTTTGACACTTAATCGATTATCTTGTTATGGGAGTATTACATGCATCATGTTTCTGCTAAACCAAGTCAAAATTTACTAGCACAGTACTTTTATTGTATGTAAAATATTAGAAAATAAGAGGATGATATTAAAACTATCAAGTAGAAAATTACTTTAGTACTGTGGCATATCATTTTCTCATGTAGAAGCTCTATAAAGTCTGCTATGAAAAAATACAATAAATCCCTATGACCAGGGGAAATAGAATTAAAATCTGAGTGCAATTAAATTCTAGTAGATTAATGATGCCAGTTATATTTGATGACAACAATAAACATAATGCAATTTAGCTAACTTATTGCTTTAAAAAGCAACTTGATAACTAACAATGGAAGAATTTTGGCTCAAGTAGCTAACTATTTGTGTTTGAGTGTCCCAACAGGTAACCTAAATTACAGTAATGGAGAGATACTTAAGTCTAGTTTTTATGATGTCTTTAAAACATTCAAATTGGTTTAGGGTCTCTAGTATATTCAATAATTATACAAAGGATCTGTTGTCCATTTCTTTTCCTACACACTTGTTTACCTTCCAGTGTTACCCAGCTTTTATCACTGTAGCCAAAATACCTGACAAGAACAACTTAGAGGAAATCTTTATGTTGGCTCATGGTTTCAGAGGTCTCAGTCTATGGTCAACTAGCTCCATTGCACTAGGTCTGATGTGAGGTAGAACATCAAGGTGGAAGGGCATAGCAGAGGAAAGCCACTCAGCTCATGCTGACTAGAGAGACTTCATAGGAAGTCTCAGAATATCCACTAATATCCCAGGTCTTCCTTTGAACAGTGGATGAAAACTTTCACAACCCCATAACTCCATCATTTGCATTGGAGTTAGGAAGAGGTCAACAAGAATATAAAAATATTCTAGGCCACACACTTGGTACCAATTTCCTCTAACCCGGTCCTACCTCCTAGAAGTTCATTCAGCCATCAATAAATTAATCCACTGATGAGATCAGAGCACTCATGACCCAATCATTTCCCAAAACTCCCACTTCTGAACCATTATACCTTAGAGGACTTTCCAGATCTAAGCCATAACATTCTGCCATTGCCCTACAAAAGTTTATGTCCATCTTGCAATGCAAAGTGCATTTAATCCCTCTCCAAGAGTTCCTCTCTAAGAGTCCCCATGGTCTTCACAGTTCCAGCATTCCTCAAAAGTCCAAGTCCAAAGTCTCCTTTAAGAATCAAGGCACATTCTTATCTGTGAGCCCCTATAAAAATAAAAAATCAGGTTACATAGTTCTAACATATAATGCCACAGATTAAATACTCCCATTCCAAAAGGCAATCGAAGCATAACATAGAAGGGACAGAAATAAAGCAAAACGGGGACCCAGTAGATCAAACATTAAATCATTTAGCTCCATGTCAAGCATCAGAGCAATTGGTTATGAGGGCCCAAAAAACAAAGGGAAGCCCTACCCTGTGGCTTAATTGGTTGCACCCTACATGGTTTCTCTGAGGCTGACTTAACTTGTTGCCTGCAGCTTTCCATGGCTCATAGTTCACACTCCTGGTATATTTTAACTTTCTAGGGTCTCCATGTTGGCTTAGGCTTTAGTCTTACAGCTCTACCCATTGTCCTTTCAGGAACTGCCTGTAAGGATTCTAAACCTGACACATATTTCCTGTTCTCCCAAGTCTTCCTTTGAACAGTGGATGAAAACGTTCATGACCCCATAACTCCATCATTTGCATTGATGCCACCACCACACCGACAACATCAATGTCTGCTGCTAGCTCAAGCACTAGCCATGCACCCTTGAACCATAGATGCAGCAGCCTCTGAGTGCCTAGGCTGTTAAGCTTGGTGAAACAAATCCAGGGGAAAAAAACCTCCCAGGCAGCCCTATGTAAGAACTCTCTTCTTAAAGGAAAGTCTTGTACACATGTACCCTTGAGGTTGTGGGTAAGGTCTTGCTGATCACTTAGATACCCAACCGGTATCTTTTCTATTCTCTCTGTACAAAGTTACTGGTTTCTGTTTAATGGTGCTTATCTCTTCAGCAACTATACCTTTCTTGGCCCCAATTTTACATATGCTTTTCTGTCCAAACCACAAGTCTTTCAAATCTATCCTCTCTGCTTTTTTTGCTCCTGATTGTCACAGTAAAGTTGGTTAAAGGCAGTGAGCAATATCCATGCCACTGCTTGAATGCTGCACAGCCTTGAAATTTCCTCCATCAGATTAATCAGTTCATCACCCTTAAATTCAGCTTCACAGCAAGTCTCAGAATATCCACTAAATATATACAAATTCTTTGCCAGAATGTAACAAAATGTCCTCTAATCTAATTCCCAACAGAATCCTCATTTCCATTTGAAATCTCCTGAGTACAATCTTTACTGTCTTCACTCCTATTGCCATTCTGGATTTCTGAACTCCCACCAGAACTGCTCATTTAGCTCCTCTTACAACATACTAAGACTTCTGCAGTCTACATCTCCAAACTTTTCCAAACTTCTCCCACAATCCAGTTCCAAAGTCTTTTGATCCTGATGATCAAAAACAGTCACAGCAATCACTCCATTTCTTAACATCAATTTCTGGGTCATTCAGCTATTCATCACTGTGACATAAGGGAGGAAAGTTTTATTTTTGGCTTATGGTTTCAGAGATCTCAATCCATGATTAGTTCCACTGCTCTGGGACTGAGTGAGGCAGAACACCAAAGTGAAAGAGCATGCAAAGGAAAACTGCTCAGCTCATGGTATCTGGGAAGTAGAGTCAGAATAAGAAAGAGGACATGGAGACTATAAATCCTTCCAGGGCACAACCCCAGTGATTAACATGCTTCAACTAGCTCCTATCACCCCATAGCCCACTCAGCCATCAATGGATCAATCTACTAATGAGGTCATAGTCTTCATGATCCAGTCACTTCTCCAAGCCAAACCTCTGATGGATGATGCTTTGGGGGACATTCTAGGTCCAAACCATACCAGATAAATTAAAAATTTAATCAGATCCTTAGATTATTGGTTCTAAAATGTGGTCCCAACCTTCCACTTTGGAATCAGTTAAAAATGCAAATTTACAGATCTCACTACAAACCTACCAAAGAAGAAATTCTAACAATGGGGCCTAGAATCTGTATTTTGTTTTTAAATTTGAGAAGTGTTAAATATTCTTTATATAATATCATACATAAACCACACTAAAAATGCCTTTCCACAAGGAAAGAACAGCATTTTAGATACAGGGAATTCTAATTAAATTGGCATGGTCAACAAAAATATAAAGTAGACACTGATTCCTTATCTTCAACCTTTAATAGGCTAAAGAACACAAATTGAAACAAATGTGAATCATGCTTGGTTCTGAGAGAGTGAAGGGATTTCCCCCATATTTTAAACATATTCACATAATCAATTCTATAAAACTAAATATAAAACCAGTTTTCAGATGTCATTCACCATTTTTGTGAAATACTGAACATTACTAATTAAGTCCAACCACAACTTTAAAAAGGGGAAAGAGTGATAGAATTTACTGAAGTGGGAATATAACCAAAATATTAATTTAACTACAAGTAAGTTTTACTTAAATCAGGATTGTCCAACAAAAATAATTTTGTCAGTCATTCATGATCTGATTTCAGGTGTATCACATCAATTAAATTATGGTGCACATAAAAAAGCCAAGAGACATTTCTGTTTGGTAATAAATAAGGCAGTAGCTATTACTCATTAGTGGCTTTTTTGAGGTAAGCTATTAGGTCTGCCCTTTCTCCCTTCTTCTTAATGCCAGCGAAGATCATTTTTGTTCCAGGGATGTACTTTTTGGGATTCTCCAAATACTCCATCAGTGTATCCTCTCCCTAGGTGATGCCTTTGTTCTTGTTGGCATCTGTATAAGAGAATCCAGCAGCCTGACCTGTCTTCCGCCCAAACAGTCCATGGAGATTTGGCCCAGTCTTGTGCTTGCCTCCCTTTTCCACCGTGTGGCATTGGGCACACTTCTGAACAAAAATCCTCTTGCCTTTCTCAACATCACCCATTTTTAATTAGGCACTTCTCTTTGAAGATAAGGCGAAATCCGTTAATTTTTAAAAGGTATTGGGGGGAGGTCTCAGCTCTTTCTGCCTTAACATGTCTAGCTTAACTCCAGAATCTGTATTTTAATAAACCTTTCCCCTGATTCTGATACATGCTAAAATTAGAGAACCACAGTCCTAAAGCCAAGAGGTTTTTATAGAATTTTAAAATCTAAAGAAAATGAAAAATTAACCCTTTCATTTTCTAAGTGATGCAAATAATAATAAATGGCTTGCTGATAGGTAATTTATTTTCTAAATTCTGCTCCTATGAAAGCTTCATAAACTAAGGAATCCAAGTACACATACATGCTTAAAATTGAGGACCCACAAATACAGGCAGACAGGCACTCACTCAAATTCATATTTTAAATCTAATATTTACTTTTTAAAGTAGTTTAATATATTTATTGATCACTCAAATGAATTAGGTTTTATTATTTCATGAACAATAGTCACTGTCACTTCATATTCCAAGAGATACACTTAATAAAGCTTAATATTCCAAGCCATACATATGCCATAGATATAGAGAGCAGCTGGTCAATATCCATCAAACTAATTAAATAATTTACATTTGGTGGATCATGTCAAGCAGGGATGGCAGAAAGTTTTCATTTGTCATAAATCATCCTTAAAAGATATTTTAAAATTAAAAATTTACTTTCCAACCCAGTTGGAAAATATATTTGAAATATTTGATTATACTTACCTATTTAAAGCAGAAACGGATTAAAAACTTGATTCTTTTTAAAAGTCTTCATCACACCCACAATAGTAGTTTTAAAAAGTATTATATAATGACATTTTTTTCTTAGTGCAATCAGACATAAAACTTAGTACTTTTCTAATTTGTGTATCTGTGTGAATAGACATGCTACTCTTCAGAAATTAAAATGTTCACTGTGCAAAAGCTTTTTCCCTAAAGAAAAGGTACAAGAAATGAATGGAGACAGATCCCCTATAAAGAGTTGAAATTGAGCCAAAGGGAAATTGCATTTTCCAAAGAAGTTCTTGTTGTTGAAGAAAACACAAGACACTGGCTAAATAAATCAAAGTCCCATTTCAGTGAGCCCATCTGAGCAAAACCACATGCACTAGATTCATTACCTTGGAAGATGAATCAAATCCATGGGGTTTCCCAAGGAGTTCAAATTTGATTTTCATTCTTACTATGATTATTAATAAGTTTGGTCAAAGAGGGAGTTACAATATCTGCTTGAGAAAGATTCAGAAATATATATGCCATACTTAATCAAGCCTACCACTATTTCTTCATCCTCTCTAATCTCAAAAATACAAATCTACACAAGCTAAATGATATTCTGTGTTTTTGCTTAACTCCACCATCTCATACTATATTAGGACACAAGTCTTAATTCCAAAGAATTAAGTTAAATACTACTAGAAAACTCCACAGAAAAAAATAATACTATAACTTTCATAGGTTTTAATGTGCTTCTAAAGATCAGGTTACCAGCTATAAATCTGCCTGTAAGGATGTTTCCCTTTGAATTGTTAGGACCTGTCACAGTATTCTAGAATCCTTTAACTTTCCCTTCCAAAATAGGAAAAAGGGTCTAAATGTTTCTAGCAAATTAGAAACATTGTTTTTTTATATCTAACTAGGCAAAACACTGTGGGTACAATAATGATTCAATTTCAAGCACAACAGCTGGAAAAGTCAAATATGTTATTCTTCTTTATCAAATCCTTATCCAATAATATACTGAAGAAGCAATTAAAACTTGTTATTTTTGAGATTTATGGGACGCAATACTATAGTCCTCTTTAGTGTAGACAAGCCCAACTTTCAGTCACTTCTCTCTTCAAGAAAGGTCTTGCCTAATATCTAACAGCACTACAGATGCTCTTACAAGAAAGTAATATTTGTTAACAGTTCACAACTGAATTCTTTAAATTTATATTATGTATTAGATAGAAAACAAGGTGGGAGAATCCTAGAGATATTTTCCTTTTCAGAAAGCATGTAGTAATTTAAACTTTGTGAGTGAGTGTGTGTGTGTGTGTGTGTGTGTGTGTGTGTGTGTGTGTGTGAGTGTGTATGCCCATAAAATTTATACAGGAAGAAATTAAATGTGTAAAATGATTTATAGGTGGATTAAAAAAGCTTGCAAGGTTGGGATTTCATACATCTTCATGAAAACTGTTATAAATCTTTGTAACCTAAATTGCTTATCCTAGTTCTACAGAAACCACATAAACAGAGCAAATAATTATCTGTAATAAACTTTTTCTTTGCTATTGTGGCAATCCTGTTTTTGTGACACACTCGTCATTATATAGCTTGTGTTCTCCCATAGTGGAACCCTGTGTCCTTATTCCCAGTGCCTGTTGTGCAGTTGTGCAGATTATACTTATGGTGAGGAAGTCAACATGATCATGATGTTGAGATTAAAAAAACGGAGGGAGATTGAAATATTCGCTTAAAATTTTTACTACATATAAATTCTCAAAACAATGTCTTCTGCTCCTAGTTTTGGGAATATTGGTTGCATAAACTCTAGAATCTAAAACATTATTATGAAAATTGACATATTCCATGAACCAAAGATATCATAAATGATTCATTGAGATAAATTCCAATTTGTAGTGCTGTTTTAGTATTAATTCATTATTTTAAATTTGTAATTTAAATTTAAACATGTTATAGAATTATAGTAATGTTAAGTACAATAATGCAATGCTTTTCTGGGAAAGTGTAAGAAGCAGATAGGAAGCACTAAATGGTATATATATATATCCTGGAAAATAGTTAAAATGCAAAGAATGAAGTAAAATTGTACTTTTCATTAAGAAAGTATGTTAATTTCTTTGAGATTAAAAAAAGTAAACTAATCTCATGTTTCTTACAGTTGTTTTTGTTGTTGTACTAGTGATTAAACTGAAGAACATTCTACCTCTGAGATGTATACCCAGTAGTCCTGGGTGTGTGGTTTTGGTTTTTGTTTGTTTTTTGAGACAGGGTTTCACTATGTTGCTGAGGCTGGTCTTGAATTTGTATCTCAATTTTCTGAATTGCTAGGACTATAAGTGTGTACCAGAGCACCCATGAATTATACATTTTTATCACCCCTCTCCTTCTCTCTACTGAATCTAAGTCAGAAGCACCTACCCCTTACATACAATTACCAAGTCAGACAACCTAAAGGCCCAGGCAGGTCATAGAATGTAGCATGTGTCACTTGGATGGCAAAGACCAGGACAATGAGAAAAAGTTCAAATTAGAGAACAAAACTGTTGCCTTTCATGGGAGATAATTGATTTCTCATCCATTACATTTGGTAATGGAATGCCAGATCTTTCAATAGTCTGGAGAATTAAACACCAGATTTGGGGTTATACCTCATGATTTTTAATTGTTGGCCCAGTTTATAAAAATATGCTGTCAAAAAATTCCTCCTCAATTAATCTGTCTCTTAGTGAGTTTTAATCTCTTCTGGGCCTCATCATCATGTTCATATGAAATAACTTATGTGTATACTCATATCTGTTTGTGTACTCACCCTCTGATCTTGTCCCTGTGTCTGTTCTTAAACAACAGTGAGCACATACTGTGTATATTGCATGCTTCTGGATATTGTAGATAAGAGTAAATAAAAAGAATATCTACTACCTTATACTGATGGTGAAAAGTTTAAAATTCAAATATGAGCCATTAAGTATTTGGCAGGCTTTGTAAATAAAAATTATATGATAAATTTATTAGTATATGCAATGACTTTATTATGCCCTTTGTCTTTTTAAATGATTGTCTGTTTTTTATTGACATGTTACCTATTATCAAAACAGAAAATTTTCAATATATTCACAGTAAAATTTAATAAGTGCCTACTTTATATGCTAGCAGCCATGTATTTAATAAAGCATTTAACTTTTATATCTCACAGAACAATACAGAAGAAAGCATAGAATTTACAGTAAGTTATTTGTATTTCTATTTCTGTTTCAGATTTCTGTATAAATTTGGAAAACCTATTAATTTCTGAGTTTTGGTTATCTGAACTCTTAGGATAAGATCAGAATCATTATTGTGTTATGTGTGAAATAATACAGATGAATATTCCATGTCAAATGTACAAAACTATGAACATGTTTATTATCTTTAATCAATTATTTAGCAAACATTGTAGAGAAAACAAAGAACAACAACAAATGAAGTAGGGATATACACTGAAAAAGATCTCAATATATTTCCACTTGATCTTCATTTAGTTTTTAATCTGTCATTCACATTATTTTAGGCAACTTTCTTTTTAAAATCTATTCACAATTCTTAAAATTACTCCCTCAATATAGAGTAAGTAATTTTGTAGTGGCCTCACATTAACCTATTATTGTTTTATTGTAAATGACTTTTTTTTTTAACCTTGCAAGAGAAAAAAAAAAATCTTCAACAGAATTAAACACTGTCCATGACCCTAAGGCCGTAGTATTTTTTTTTGGTTTGTGTGTGTGTGTGTGTGTGTGTGTGTGTGTGTGTGTGTGTGTTAACAAAGTTAATCAACTGCTTATTATACTGCTCTTGAAGCACAATTTTTATTAATGGTATGCATTCAAATATATTAAACCTGTTTCTTAAAACTGACAGTTTAGGGCTGGGGACATAGCTCAGTTGGTAGAGTGCTTGCCTCACATGCACAAGGTCCTGGGTTCAATCCCCAACACCACAAAAAAGAAAAAGAAAAAGTGACAGCTTACACAGAAAATGCTATGGCTCATTCATATTCAGCAAGATGTCAACTCAGAACCATGCAGTTCATACATCATTGTAGACAATCCTACTCATTCCATATGGTGCTTAATAGGACTTCATTCTTAGCCCTGAAATCACAAACATCCATCTCTTGTATTTACAACTCAAAAAATAAATATGTTAAATTAAATAAAGATGCTTAGAAGCATTTTTCTTCCACCAAAAAGTACAACAATGTAGAATTGTGCATGACAAGATTCAGTTCAACAAGAATT